TTGGACGGTTGCCTTTTCGCAGGAGTCGGTGAAGACGAGGAGTCGGCTTTAGGTCTTGGCGGTGGTCTGCTGCTCTTGCCTGGTCGTGGACCAGGAGGGTCTCTAGGAGGGCCTTCTGGCTGGCCATGATCATGGATGACCTGCCTCATCTGGTCGATGTCGGCAGTACCTTTTATGGCCAGCTTGTACTTGCCATTCTCATGGCGATAGATTACCCTCGTGCAAAACCACTTCTGCGCCGAAGAGCTGTAGTACCAGCAGGCGCTTCCGTCAGGGAATGGATTCTCTGAACCGTCTTCCGCCGCCCACTCTTCATTTAGCTCGGTGCGGTCAGTGCCGGCGGCGGACCCGGCAGCAGAGACAACGTCTATCCACTCGTCCGCAGATCCAGCGGCTGGTGCTGCTTCTGCGGGTGACCCCGCTTCCTTGCTGGATTCTGCGGGTGACCCCGCTTCCTTACTGGATTCTGCGGGTGACCCCGCTTCCTTACTGGATTCTGCGGGTGACCCCGCTTCCTTACTGGATTCTGCGGGTGACCCCGCTTCCTTATGGAATCGGCGGTTCCATTCCTTGAGGCGGTGGTCATTGGGAAGCTTTGCCCAATTTTCCCTGACGGTGTTGGCCACCTCTTCGGTCATAGGGACGCGATCGGCCTCCGTGATGCGCTTGCCCCCTCCAGGAACCTCTTTGTTTGGATCATGGACGTTGCCAGCGTCGTCTCCGTGAGACCAATTCCACGGGGTCTCTCCGTGGTGAGGGCTCCTGGAGGGGCGGTCCATCGGACACCTGCGCATGTGGCCTTTAAAGGGCTCACACTGACATACTTGCTTTCTGTACGTTTTGCGGTCAGTGATGATCTCCTGCTTCTTCGCCCTTTTGTCCCAGGCCTCTGGCGTCTTGGTCTTGCCGCCCTTGGTGCGGATTATCGCGCCAGTCTCGTCCCTTTTGGCACAGTATTCCTTAGAATACCAGTGCCGAAGAGTATCCATAGAGTAGCCGGGGTACCATCTGATGTACCAATCCGGCACCTGCTGAGCAGATACTCCAACGGAGTGCTCAGTGCTGTATGGATAGCCCGATTCAACATGCGTAGGGCGTCTAGGAGCTGAGCGGCTCCTTCCGCGGGCTGGCCCCGCTGACGCACTACCACGTGTCACTGGCCTTTGATCGTCATGCTCTGAGTCTCGGTGAGGCGACGGTCGCCTGTCCCTCTTGGCGTACCGCATGTCCTCCGAGTCCTCTGAGCTGTCCTGGACCATGAACACGTTTTGATACGGGCTTCTGAAGTATCCGATGTCATTTAACTGCTCCATCGAGAAGTCGTTAATGTTCATTTGATCGCAACCTTGCATGAATACATCCATAGACCAAGCGGGTGGCCCCGCTGTTGTGTCTAGCATCTCTTCGGCGGGTGACCCCGCTAGAGCTTGGAGTGCTGTAAGCATCTGAGATGCTGACATGTTCGAATCCAAGTATGGACGTAGACGGGCAACTCCAGGGTGCGACAGCAGTTCGTTCATCGTCATCTGCTGCTGTGCTGGCGCACTCAAGAGTCGGATTGCTTCTGAAACCTGCTCCTGGAGCATGTCGTTATAATCTTCTTCGGATTCTTCGGAGTCGGAATCCGCGGGATGGCCCCGCATTTCGTCATCGGCGTCTCCCATCTCCGAGCCAGCCCACGACGGATTTGGCGCCAGCCCACGACGGATTGGGCAGCAACGGCATGCCAATTCACTTGTGGGCCACGCGGCGGTGCGTTCTCTCTGTTGCCGGGACAGTCTCGCTTCAGGTGACCTCAGTCAACCGCGGGATGGCCCCGCTGAATCCGAACCCAAGCATGTACGCGCAATCTCATCGACCTCGTCCCCAGCCGTGGAACACGTTCGAAGAGGGTCCACTCGTTAGTCTCCAGCCACAATGCTTCACAAATAGCGGGCCATCACGGTAATACGTGGAGGAAAAAGGATGATAAAAAAAAAATAAAAAAAGAAAGAAAAAAAAAAAAAAAAAAAGAAAGGAAAAGACTACAGGATAAAAAAAAAAAAAAAAACATTAAAATAAAAAAATAATAAACCAAGAAAAGGAGAAAGCCCCGCAGCGGGAGCCGCTTCTGGATTGACGTAAAACTCGTAGTCAATGTAATCTATGTCATCCATAAAAGAATTTTGAGCCAAATGTACGGATCCCTTTCCTTTCCCCTTCGGGCATTGATCGCGCAAATGCTCTGTGCTACCGCATGTATGACACTTCATAGTATTGCCAGAAGCGTCCCTAGGGTTGCCCCTCCGCCCTTTCCCTTACCGGAGGTCCGCCTGTGACCCCGACCTTTGCCTCCGATAAGAACTTCTTCAAAAGCCATATCAGTTAAGGACGTGAGGAAAGCAGTAATACCCCTACCATGCATACGGCGTCTGCGACCCCCTTTGCCACGACCCTTTCCATATCGTTTGAAATGTCGGCGTACTGCACGTCTCACTTTCCTGACTGGTTTCTTCATAAAGCGCCTCCAACGGCGTTTTGATTTGCGATAAGCCATAAAAGCGGCTTCCGCTCTTTGTTGTTCAGAAAGGTGAGTGTCATCCGCTGGATAGTCATTACCAGCAGAGACTATGCCATTGTGCTCATCGTCAGATGAGGTGTCTGTGTCAGTGCCAGATTCAAACGGTGAGGGTGGCTGAGACCATTGAGCGGATGACTCCGCTTGGCCCCAGAGGGTTGTGCCCGAGGGCGGGCTTGCAGTGTAGGCGGCGCCTGGCGAGTAGTTCGACCAGGCATTCGCCTCAGCTGCCTCTGCCGATGCCTGGCCGGTCTGCCCTAGAAGGGCAGTGGCCTCGTTGGGCATATCGGCTGGGTCAGCCCAGGGATTTGGCTCGCCAGGACCAGCGGGTGACCCCGCAGTCGTGGCATAGACACCTGCATGTGAGTGGTGCCCTGTGAAGAAACCCGCTATGTTGCCAGGAGAGCGCTCGGCAACATGTCCGTAGTTCCTCATCCTGGTCAGCAGCCTGTCATAGTCTGCTTGTGTTCGGGGCATCTGATGATTGAAGGGCTCAAGCAGGTGTTGGGCTCGTGACGCGCCAACGCCTAACGCACTGAAGAGAATCAGCGTTAGGATCTGAAAGTTGGGGATGACAAAGCCAACAGAGTTAGCCTCGTCACGGGCCATCTCGAATCGAGCTAATACCGAGTCGATTCGCTCGCCCCTTTCGACGCGGAAGTCGATAAGGGCTGTGCCAGAGTTGAGCTGGCGCTCATCTTCCAGATTTTCAAATTTGGTGCTCAGTAAGTACAGTATATATGTTACTGCATCCGTTGGCTGTCCATTGACAGTTACACCATAATAGATGATCTGGGAGGGGACCTGCATGGCGATACGACGAGCAAGACCTTGAAGGCCTCGTTGTAGTGCTGCAGCTTGTTGTGGTGGTGTCATTTTGCCACTCGTTACGTTTAACCATGCATGTACTTCGCGAACGTATTCGCGAAAAGGCGTAGTACCGGCAGGGTCCCATGAAGGGCCAGTAGTACGCGTGTCGTCCATCCCCTGCCGCATGTATCCCACAGCACATCCCATTATTACCCACAGAATGCCGAAGATAGTTATCTTGATCCAATGCATGTGCATTTCGGCTTCGGTGATTGGTGTGGGCTGTGGTTTGTCAGGCTCTGGCGTGGTAGCCGTGAGGCGCCTGACCGGCACGGGATGCAGGTGGCCCCGCTGCGGGTAGCCCCGCAGGGTGACCACTTTCTCGATCGAGTTGCCGATTGGCATCTGGTGGAAGTCGGGAGTGAAGTAGCGCAGTGAAGTAGGAGAGAGCGTCTCGAGTTCGCGGGTTGCCCCGCTAGCTCGATCGCGGACTGGCTCCGCTCCTCGCAGAGCCGGCGCAACATGGTATTCCACCGTGGTAGTAGTCCACCAAGTTGTGCCGTGGATTACTGAATCAGAGCGAGAGCCAGCCACACGAGAGTGTAGCCAGCTCCGCTACCAAGTCGAAAACAAGCTGGTAAGCTTAGGTATGTGTTACGCCTTAGGCGTTGCCATATCCCAGGCTTTGGCTCATATCGCATGAGCAAGAGAGCGAGACGAAGCATGGGATCTGGAGTATAGAGTAGGATGGGCATCGTCAATGGAAAGGATGTTTTCCGATCTCAGATGCAAGTAGTGCGCCTCGGTGAGGCACAGTCACATATCAGGCCGGGCCCGGCTTGAGCCAGGCACGGCAGCGGTACATGCTCGATTTATACCTCGCCTTTAACCTTCTCCGTTTAAAGTGACAGGCGAAGCCCCTCCCCGCTCACAGGAGGAGCAGGTCTGAAGAACAGGGCCTGCGGCTCCGAGGTATCATTCTAGAAAACGCTCTGACTGGCCAGCTCTTCATCCTGAGTCATTTCCTAACGTCCAGGCACCAGGCGAGGACCCCAAGAGGCCGAAATGGGAGAAATTTCGGCGTTGAGTTCTCAACACGTTGGACGCCTCGGACAGGGGGAAGGTAGTGTGGCGCACGCGGGAGTCACCCAATCCAGAAGCTGCAGCACGGGCGAAGGCCTGGACTTGAGCAGGGCCCTGCCACGCGCACGCGAGAACCCCCAGCCGATCTCGGACGAAGAGGCGAAGGGGCCGTGTTGCTGCTGTGCTTGCTGGACACTGACATCCGACGCCGCGCTCAAAAAGTAGAAACACTGTGCAGATCACAGGCGGAGCCCTGGACCCCACCTCTCTGCGGCACTTCTCGAGCTGGGTCGAACTGAGGACCCCCCTGGGGCCCGGGACTGGGCGCGAACGCCGTGTGCGGAAGGACTGCGACGCCCGGATCTCAAGGGGGGGGCCTCTTTCAGAGGAGAAAACGGTACCCATACCTCTACCCTCGTCTCGTTTGCCCCTCTTTGGGCCTCCTGGGCGGCCCTCGTCGCCACCGCTGGATTCACCTCGAAATCCTGGGCCCGGGGAGTAGCGGAATCGGTACCTTTTGGTCTTCCCACTCTTGTGCCGCCCCGGCGTCCTGGAAGTCCTCGAACGAGGAGTTGAAGGAGAGGTTCTCGTACCACTCTGGATGGATGTTGATACCTGGCCGAGGCTTGATAGAACACTCTTCAGCAAAAAACTCCCGTCAGAGACAGCTTCCAGGGGCACTCCAAGGGCGCACAGCACCGCACTCCCAGCGGACACGGGCGGGATAGCTCATCGACGTCCTACAATAAACGAATGCGTCTGGCAGAACACACGAAGATCGTGGCCTCCGAGGGGAAAGCCGCAATCGACTACCTCCCCGTCCCGCCCCACGAGGCCCCCAAGAGCCCCAGGAGGCCCCAGGGGCCCCCAAGACGCCGTCAAGGAGCCCCAAGAGGCTCCCAAGAGGCCCCTAAGAGGCCCCAAAGAGCGCTCCAGGGCCAGCGGAATGAGCGAAGCGATTAAATAAACGAATGCGTCCGGCAGAACACATGTCGACTAGCGAAACTGACTGGCAACTTCAACGGCACACCCAGATGCCAGTGTCGAGTGAACTGGTGCAGACGTCCTCAGTCGGCTCGTCTGGGCGGGCGTTCTCGCAATGTCCGAGGCATACTGGAAGCCTTGGTCTGCGACCCTCCCAGGGATTTCTCTACTTCACGGGCTCGCAGACGTGCCCCCCCGAGGATCCCACGGAGTGCCGGATGTGAATACCTCCCCTCCCCATGGGGGCGAGAGATACCCACATCCAGTCCTCCGCGGTGGTTGGAAACAGTCTCTGGCGTGGATAAGAGGACGTGACCCCCAAAAAGTTACCCGAGACGTACCCAACCCCTTCTAGGCGTGACTCGACTATTCAAAGGAAGAGTCCATGCAAAAGAACACGTTGCAAGAACACTCTGCTCCGCTGGACCTGCCAGGAACATACGACAGTGGCAACGATTGCTCACTGCGCACCCGCCACAAAGAGCCACGAGGTCTCAGCTCGGTCCGCGTGCTTCCCCACTCCGCTGGGCATCCCAGGAGCCCACGAAAGTGTTTTTACTGTTGCGCAGTTGGCGGTCCCCCAGGGAGCCGCGAGGTCTCGGCTGGATGCGCGTACTCCCCCACTCCGTCGTGCCTCCCAGGAGCCCGCGAAAGTGGCGACTGTTGCGCAGTTCGCAGCCACCCAGGGAGCCGCGAGGTCTCGGCAAGATACGCACTCCCCTAGCCCGCCGTGCCTCCGAGGGGCCCGCGAAAGTGGCAACTGTTACGCAGTTCGCAGCCGCCCAAGGATCTTCGAGGTCTTGGCTGGATGCGCGTATACTCCCCGACTCCGCCGTGCCCCCCAGGGGCCCACGAAAGTGGCGACTGTTGCGCAGTTCGCAGCCACCCAGGGGAGCTGCGAGGTCTTGGCTGGATGCGCGTATACTCCCCGACTCCGCCGTGCTTCCCAGGAGACCACGAAAGAAGTGGCGACAATTCCACAGATCGCAGCCACCCGAGGAGCTGCGAGGTCTCGGCTGGATGCGCGCACTCCCCGACGAGCCCACGAAAGTGGCGACAGTTGCACCGTTCGCAGCCACCCGGGGAGCAGCGCAGGAGGCGGCAGGAGGAGGCAGGAGGAGGCAGGAGGAGACAGGAGGAGGAGAAGGAGACGCGACCGCGCAGTGCCCTGGTCAAAACGAGAACACAACACAGGAGGGCTGGGAACAACAAAGCGACGCACCAGACGGCTCGCCCCGTGGCTCCCTGGCGGGCTTCCCGGGACACTCGGCGCTCCACGGCTTTCGATGCGTGGACCCCCAGAGGACTGGATATAGCTTCCCCGGGGGCTCGTCCTGAGCCGCTGCTGGACAGTGGGTCCACCGCTGAAGGCGCCCGGAGACTGAAAGCGGCCCAGAACCGCCCGCTCCAGTCTCTGTCAGAGCCTCGGGCCTCAGAGGGTCTAAACCACTTCCCCGGGGCCGCTTCGTTCGTCCTGGGTCGTTCTCTGACGGCCCCGGGGCCCGTGGACTGCTCCCGGAGGCCGAAGATAGCCCCAGACCGGCCGCCGCAGGGTGTCTGGAGACTCGGATCTCTGCGCTGCACTGCCCCAGACGGCGACGCGCCGGCAAGCCAACGGGGCGCCGGCGGCCGCGCCCCGCGGGCAGCGGAGAGGCCCGCCCTGGGCTGCCCGCGGGGCCTCCCGCGAGTGCCGAAGCCCTGCCCGGCTGGCCCGAGCACCAGCGGGGGGCGCCCAGAGGGGCGCACCGCATCGCCGATGCACCAGCCAGGCACTCAGGGACTGTCGAGAAGCTGTTCGCTTGCGTGCTTCCGTCGATGTCGATCCTCTGGGTCCAGGGACAAGCTAATATTCCGGCTGGCCCGAGCACCAGCCAGCGGAGGGCGCCCAGAGGGGCGCACCGCATCGCCAATGCACCAGCCAGGCACACAGGGACTGTCAAGAAACTGTTCGCTTGCGTTTTTCCATCGATGTCGGCCCTCCGGGTCCAGGGACAGCCTATAACAGTCGTCGAGGGCGAGAACTACCCCCTTGGAAGCGGACGGGGTCCTCTGAAGCTCCGGTCGGCCACGCGCAGAAGGGGGGCAGGGGGAGGGGGAAGGCTTCTTAAAAAGAGGCTGCTTCTCAGAAGGCGCGGGCCTTGTCTACAGATGCAGGGCTGGCGCCTTCTGAGAAGCAGCCTCCTTCCAAGAAGCCGTCCCCCATCCCCCTGCCCTCTGTGCGTGCTGCCAAGATGCGTCAGCGAGGTGCCAGCGTCGGGATGGAGGTCAGATCCACAGAGATCCGAGGCTCCAACAAAGTTCGAGTGGTCGGTTTGGGGGCTATGTTCGGCCTCTGGGAGCCCTCCACGGGACAAGGGGGCATCAGAGAACGGCTCAAGACGAAAAAAACGCCCTGGGGAAGTGGTCCAAACCTCTGGGGGGCTCCGCGCATCAAAAATTACCCGAGACGTACTAGGGGGCTCCGCGCATCAAAAATTACCCGAGACGTACCCAACCCCTACTCCACGCGAGGCGAATATTTGCATAAGCGCTCCGTACAAAAGAACACATCGCCAGATATGAACGATTAGTGCTGCCCTCATCTCCGCCGTGCCTCCCAGGAGGCCGCGAAAGTGGCGACACTTGCGCAGCTCGCTGCCGAAGCTGCGAGGCCTTGGCTGGATCCGCCTGGCCCCCGACTCTGCCGGACCTCCCAGGAGCCCACGCAAGTGGCGACAGCTGCGCAGCTCGCAGCCACCCAGGGAGCCGCGAGGTCTCAAGTGGGTGTGCGTGGTCAGCTCGCAGCCACCCAGGGAGCCGCGAGGTCTCAAATGGGTGTGCGTGGTTCCCGACCCCGCTGGACTTCCCAGGAGCCAACGGAAACTGTGACAGCTGCGCAGATCGAAGCCTCCAGGGGGGGCAGTGAGTTCCCAAATGGATCTGCGTGGCCCCCGACTCCGCTGGACCACTCAGGAGCCAACGACAATGGCGACAGTTGCAAAGTTCGCAATCCCCTGTGCCCACCAGGGGCCCACGAAAGTGGCGACAATTGCAAAGTTCGCAGCTCCCCAGGTAGCTGCGAAGTCTCGGCTGGGTCCGAGTACTGCGCTACTCCGCCGTGCCCCCCAGCAGCCTACGAAAGTGGCGACTGTTGCGCAGTTCGCAGCCACCCAAGGAGCTGCGAGGTCTTGGCTGGGTCCGTTTACTCCCCTATTCCGCCGTGCCCCCCAGGAGACCACGAAAGTGGCGACTGTTGCGCAGTTCGCAGACACCCAGGGAACTGCGAGGTCCAGTCGGGGTTCGTTTACTCCCCTGCTCCGCCGTGCCTCCCAGGAGCCCACGAAAGTGGCGACAACTGCAAAGTTCGCAGCTCCCCAAGGAACTGCGAGGTCTTGCCTGGGTCCGTCTACTACCCTACCCCGCCGTGCCTCCCAGGAGCCCACGAAAGTGGCGACTGTTGCGCAGTTCGCAGCCACCCAAGGAGCTGCGAGGTCTCGGCTGGGTGCGTTTACTCCCCTACCTCGCCGTGTCTCCCAGGAACCCACGAAAGTGGCGACAGTTGCGCAGTCCGCAGCCACCCAGGACACTGCGAGGTCTAATCTGGGTCACCCAAACATGTTGCCTCGGAGGAAGCCTCGTTTTACTTCCGCCGCCTTCTGCAAACCTTCCGCCGCCTTCGGCCGAGGAAGCGATGCCAAGTCCTTCGACTCTTGCAAGTGAGGGCTTTTCTGGAGCGCCCCATGTCGGCGGCCTGTATGGTCCCCCAAGCTTCTCCAAACACCTGCGGGCGTCCGTGTGCGAGGGCGCTTCCCCAAAATGATAGCTTTGATCTTCCCTTGGGGGGGGTCCTGGAGGTTCCCGGAGGTCACTCGAGGTATCTGTAGGCCTCGAGATGTCCCTGTCCCAGAGCACTATAGAGGCCTCCAGAGGTCCCCTGAGGCCGAAGAAGGCCCAAGAAAGTCCCAAAACCCGGACCTTCGATTTCCGAAGGCGATGAGGACGAGGAGGAAGAGGAGGAAAGGCAAGGCGAGGAGGAGAAGGAGGAGGAGCATGAGAAGGAAAGGTAGGCGGAGGAGGAGGCCTCGAGGACCTCCAGAGGCCCTCCTCCTCCTCCTCCTCCTCCTCCTCCTCCTCCTCCTCTTCCTCCTCCTCCTCCTCCTCCTCCTCCTCCTCCTCCTCATCCTCCTCCCTCTCCTCCTCCTCCTCCACCTCCTCTCCCTCCACCTACCCTCCTCCTCCTCCTCCTCCTCTCCTCCTCCTCCTCTCCTCCCCTCCTCCTCCTCCGTCCTCCTCCTCCTCCTCCTCCTCCTTCCTCCTCCTCCACCTCCTCCTCATCCTCCTCCCGCTCCTCCGCCACCTCCGCCGCCGCCTCCTCCTCCTTCTCCTCCTCTCTCCTCCTCCTCCTCCTCCTCCTCCCCCTCCTCCTCCCCCCCCTCCTCCCCCCCCCCCCCTCCTCCTCCTCCTCCTCCTCCCTCCTCCTCCTCCTCCTCCCTCCTCCTCCCTCCTCCTCCTCCTCCACCCCGCTTCCTCAACTTCCTCCGCTTCCTCCCCTCCGCCTCCCGCCTCCGCCCGCCCCTCCGCTCCTCCTCCTCCTCCTCCTCCTCCTCCTCCTCCTCCTCCCTCCTCCTCCTCCTCCTCCTCCTCACCTCCTCCTCCTCCTCCTGCACTTCCACATCCTCCTCCTCCTCCTCCTCCTCCTCCTCCTCCTCCTCCTCCTCCTCCTCCTCCGCCTCCTCCTCCTCCTCCTCCTCCTCCTCCCCTCCTCCTCCTCCCTCCTCCTCCTGCCCTCCACCTCCTCCTCCTCTTCCTCCTCCTCCTCCTCCTCCTCCTCCTCCTCCTCCTCCTCCGCCTCCTCCTCCGCCTCCTCCTCTGGCCGTGTTGGGGCTTCTTGAAGCCTCCAGGGGCCCTCCGGGGACCTCTTTGGACCTCTGACCTCCTACGGTTTGCCTCCGCAGAAAGGATGCAAGACCCTTTGACACTCACCTGGCAGCAGTTGCAGCGGCATCAGTCGGAGGCGAGCGAGAGGGGAGAAGTGAATAGGAGA